AAAGCATAGTTTTCACAGGATGTATTCCAAACTACTTTTTCATGTATCATCTTGCTAGATAGGTAGGTTTTCAGCTTCTGTAACTGCACCTAAAGATCACCTATTACAGGTTGGAATAGGGCAAGAAAAGGGACGATAGTTAAAATATAAGCTCATAGACATACACCTATTGAAGGAGAAGGGGTAGAAAACAACTTACACACAGCTTTTCCAGAAGTAAAGTTCCTGAAATTAATTCAGACTCCTACTAGCATTCTAATTACAGAATTTTTATATCAAACATTATTTTCATCAGTTTCCTGTCTAGCTTTGTGCTTTGGGGACAAATACAAGAACACAGCGTCAACCACAATCTTTCTTTTCAGTTTGTTCAAATCAAGGAGATCCTTTTTCAAAATCCATTTACACTATCCCGTAAAACAGTGGAAGGGTCAAGAGAAGACATCTACAGCATAAAAAGCTAATTACACTGAGAATAAGTATACAATTTTTCTCAAATTTTAATACCTTCCAATCGTTCAAGTGGCAATACCTCAAGTAAGGTATCTTGACTGCTTTTTGAACACTCAGTGACATTCTGATCTTGCTCTCCGTATATTGAGTGGGATTCTTTCAAATTAACACAAGTTGGCTGAGGTTCTTTAACTTGTGTAGCAACTTCCCTAGAAAGAGAATTATTTCAACGAAAAATCACTCAGTGAGACATATACATCAATGTTACTATACAACATCTCTCTATATAAAGATGTGATAAATTCTCCAATTCTAATCCCTTTGTCTCTAGTAATTGAACTGCTCCCATGAACAGTTTCTACAGACCTATTACCTGTAAAGGAATAAATAGCAAGATTACAAGGGCTTCAGTTTAACTATCTAATGTATAAAAACAAATAGTGAAATTTAATGGGACATATGCCTCTCTACTTCTTTTCTGTGTGTTCCCTTCTCTTTCATTTCTGCAAAAAGAGGGAAAAGTATAAAAGGAAAAGGGTGTATTCCAGGCAAGTTCCACGATCCATTTGAGAGCAAGTGGAACCCTAGACAAGATTCTCCTAAGTCCACAGTATCAGCATGCCCATTCTAACATTAAATTAGGGACTAAATCATCAAGAACATGACTCGCTGAAATTGCATATAGTTCTGTTAAATAACAGCTTTTATAATTCTGTGGGAAAGTTATTTTTTATTTCTGGTTTCATAGGGCATCCACACAGGCAGATAAGCTAATCATGAAAGATGTTAAAATTTCCACATTGAGTGAACTGAACCGTACTTTCACTTTAGATTTCAAATGTCAGCTTTATTTATATTTCTAAAAGTCTAAAATACAAATATTCCATGCTTTGTATTTTTTTTTACTTAAACACAATCAAGAAGCAGATTCCCTGTCTTTAATCTTACATTGTTTTTATAGGGACATACTGCCTATAAAACAATTTTATCAGTGAGAAAGATGCCCACTGCAATTTCTATTGCAACAGTAGGAACAAATTTGATCTCTGTTAGAATAACCTCTGCAACAGCTTCCACCACTTAGTTACACTCTCTAAATTATTTCACTAACACTAGTTACTTCCTAAGAAATAGCAATCACTGAGGCTACAAAGAAGCCAAATTTAAAAGAAATTTATTTTCCTTTCTGTATGCAAACTGCGTGATACTTACTTGGAACAGATTTAAATCAGTGCTAACTATTATTCACACACATGACACGAACCAGAAACATCAGCTTAATTCTAGATTATACTATGTAAATACATGCCAGATTCAAATAAGTCAATTGATCAATCATACTTAGGAAATTCTTAATTAGTGTGACAACAAAACAAAGTGTTATAGTTTAAAAGAAAAAAAAAATCACTTCTAAACATTCATTCCTGTCATGTACGTGAAGTCAAATTATTCAATTAAACAGCAGGAGGCTGTTCACGTAGGGCTGTACAATCTAAGTGGAAGCATTGCATGGGATGCTTCCGCATATCCTGCCACAATCCCTCTTCAGAAAACATAGAGAAGCTGTTCTAGTAGGAAAAGCTGCCCAGGCTGCCAAGCACCCTAAGCTATCAGGCTAATGCACAGATGAGATCTCCAGTTACTGCCATCAAAAGGCCAGTAGTAGAAGCTGCTGCTGAGCAGTTTAACTCTGAAGTATTCCATAATTAGCTTATAGTACATGCAAATCTACATACTGGTATATGCATTTTAAGACAGTTAAAATCTAATTCTATCTCACTTACATGTCATCACAAAAGCTGAGGGCAAATCTCCCCATTGGCTCAGGATGTGACTGACTACTGTGAGTAGATCCTGATGGAAGGGAGTATTTCCCCTCTAAGTAGGATGCACAGATATCCGAATGCCTGCAAAGTTGGGGAGAAAAAACACGTAACAGAATCACTCTAATATGCACCTCTCCCATTACCAAAAAAACTGGGAAAAAAAGCTATATTGATGGCCACTCACCTTCTGTAAGTTCAATTATTTGAATATTTTAGCATTTTCTAGCAAATCTGCATCTACCGGTACACATATGTGTACAGAGTGATCCTGTCCAGTCTTCTGTAGTTCTTTAGTGAAATACCACATTACAATTTTTAGTGACTAGTGCTGTGCTATTTGGAACGCACACTTCTAGAAGACAGGGCATAAAGTCTGATCTTGTTAAGCCACAGGACATCAGTTAAATGAGCAAAGGCTTCTAATTGTTACCTTTCAAAAGAATTTTTCCTTTCCAAAGTTAAATGTTTCACACCAGTCAACTGTTTTTTATATTATTAAGTGGTATTAACTGATAGTCTCACCTGTTGGCACAGCCCGTTTTATTCCTAGCAACAGTTGAAGCTGCAACAGGTAAGCCAGGGTTTGAGGAAATAGTAACATTTTCAAAAACAACACTTTCATTGCTACTCAATGAATGGCCCAAGAAGCTTGGAAACGTCTCATCGGCAATATTTCTGAAGTCTTCCATTATCCTGCACAAGTTGCTTAAAATAGCACTCTGCTTGGCAACACGATCAGCCCTGGTCCAGCAGCATCTGAAAGTAGGAACAAAACAACCGTACAGTTACACAAGCCACAGTAACGCTGTCAAAAACACGTTACTTATACATCACAGCCAACATTCCTTGGCATTCACCCCACTTTATCCACAGAAACGCTTAAAAAATTATTTCCAGCCCTCTTCCCCCTAAGCCTTCTGGGGGCCGCAGAGCTCCATAGCAGCCTTGGACTTTCTAAAAAGAGCAGCACTCCCGCAAGTCAAACAGCACCTGCGCTGCACGGTGTGCCAACCTATATTTAGCCTCTAAAGCCGCTTGGACCCAGGCGGCCCTTCCTCCATTTCCACAGCAGCGGGAACCCAGGCGGTTACAAACTCCCTGAGGCGATCCTCCCGGGCCGCCCCTGGCCAGGCGTCAGCCTAACGCTACCCGCCTCAGCGGGGACATGCCTGGGCCCTGCTCCCCCTCAGAACTCCATCCAGGTGGCACCCCCCCCACCCGCCGCGGCCCGGGGGAGGCCGGGACGGGAAGCGGCTCCGAAGCCAACAACCCCTTCTCCCCAAACGGGAGGAGATCGGCCCAGCCCTACCCTTCCCTTCCACACTGCAGGTATGACCGAGGAGGCCCAGTCGTCGCCCGCATACCCCCCCCCCCCCCGCCGCTACTCGCCTGAGAGGAGACCGAGGGACCGCGGCCCAACCGCCAAAACTTCAAACCGCCGCTCCCGCCGAGCGCGCTCTCCCGCGCGCCCGCCGCCCTGCCCGGCCTCGCCCCGCCCACAC